TCCCACCCCCCCCCCCCCCTCCCTCTCTGTCTCTATCTCTCTCAAAAGAGTACCTACATTTTTTAGAAGGGAGTGTGGGTGTGTGAAAATGTCTGTGTGTGTATGTAAATAATCTGTGGGAAATTCAGAAATTTTCCCCTATAGCTATTTTCACAGAGGCAGCTGGTGTGCACACACACACACACACACACACAGACACACTGATTGAGGCAGCAGAAGTCATTAGAAGTAAAAGTGTGCAGTTGTTTTCCTGCAGTGTGGAGGTGTGAGTGCCGCTGGTGAAACATGTTATGTTTGGACCATCTGCTGAGGGACTCGCAGTGTAAAACACTTTTAAAAAGTGCTGTTTGAGTTGACTAACTGCACTAATAGCTGTGTGAATACAGGATACGATGTGTTAAGTGTTGACTTTTCAACACAAGACTTGGCAGGTTTAAAGCTTAAACGACGAAGCATATCAGACTTTTGAAGTCTTTTTGTCAATTCAGCTAACTTTGTAGCTGCCAAATGATAAGTTAAAGCAACTACACACTGCTGTCTTTTAGAATTTCACATATATTAAACAACTCAAACAATCATTTAGGGAAGTGAAAATTAATTTCAGTAGGAAAAAAGAGAGGCTGGTGAAGGAACGACTTGGACTTTTCACAATGTTAAATGTAACTATAAATGGATAAAAAGTACAATGTGGAATTGTAATTGTTAATTGTAAAAACTGCTATGGTATAAGATATATTTAGTACTTCTTGACTAAAAAAAATGTCACATTATGATGTTTTGTGTATAACTGCAGGATCTTTCAAGAGAAAATCATGATCTAAGACCTTTATTTTAGTTTTAACATACCATAAGCTGTGTACTTTTCCTGCTTACTCACATTTGAGTCCTGTATGTAATCAGGATGGTCATGTGACCCACACAAGATATCTTATCTTCTTAACTTCTGCTCTCGATGGAGGGGGATAAAACAAGCAAGATGGAAGAGGCTGGATTAAACACACTCACAGGCCAATGCTAGAAAGGAGAGAAAGAAAGGATGGATGAGGGACATTGAGAACAAGGTGACTTTGTGTTTTCCCTGAGGTGCTGCCTACTGCAAGATTCAACTGTATCTTTGTGTAATCCGATTTTTCAATTGACCTTATACCTTAATTTAGTATATACAGACATGTGAGGAAAGGAAAGTAAACTGTGCACCTTTTCATACAGCTCATCTTAAAAAAAAATGCGTTTGTGCATATTTTTTTCATCCATACACAAAACATTAACACAGCCATTAAAAGAGAATGTTCTCAGCCCAAAGGCAATGGAAATAACATCAGAACAAGCTAATAAGTTTACCGATATACCCTATCAACCTATCAAAACAACTGAATTCTCCTGTACCTGAAGAGAAATGCTAATATTAAAGGCTAATATTAATGTTAGCTCTCTTCAGAAAGCCTTCAAAACGTGGGACTACAGAAATATTGATTTATTTTGCAGTTTGTTAGAGGGGCTGTGTTTGTTCCAGCATCAAA